TATTCTAAGAGGTGGTGTGTGATCTCATTTGCTTGAAGAAGGCAGGAGCACCACATAGGAAGTTCCATACATTACTTTTGTTAATCTAGATGAGGTTCTTGGTGCCCCTAAGGTATAGACAGCTCTGTGGATAATAGAGACTTATGGAATTAAATTGGGAGGTTCCAGGTTAACAGAAAGGATTTTGAATAGTGAATACACTGAGGCTGAAATAATCTTGACAGAAAATATTCTCTGCTTTTTATTTTCAGAAAGTGTCTCAAGGCCAATGCAGAAGAACTGGAGGATCTGATGAAACCTGCAGTCAGTTGCTGTCCAAAGTTTTTATATTAGAGAAGGCCTTGATTTTAGACTGGGAGAACATCTGCTCCTTTGGTATTAAAGGAAAAGTCCTGGGTATTGGCACTAGTGTACAGTCAATTTCCCAATCAGGCACAGTCTCTCTGTCTCTCAGTAGAGAATATCTTCATTTGTCTTATGGGTATGGGTTGGACCTAGCAGTGTAAAGGTTTAGTTGAACAGAGAATTCTATGTGATGTTTGGGAGGGGTAGGGGTATAGGGAATCCTGGCAGTAAAAGTCTGACAAAGCAAAAGACATGAGTCTTGAAGGCAAGAGTGAATAGTCTACTCTGTCGAGAGCAGCTTATAGGCAAAGGGGAAGTGTAAGTGCAGTGGGGGACAAACAGTACCAGGGCTGACTTCAGCTGGATAGGTAGTGGGACCTGCTGGACCAGGGACTTTTCTGAGAGGCTACCTAGGACCCCCTGAGTATAACCCAGTCCAGATATAATAAGTGACTTTTATCAAATGCTATGTGCCAGGTTCTTTGCTAAGCTTTTTAATGTAATTATTATTAGATTTAATCCTTATAGCCCTATAAGGTAGATAACTTAAATTATTACATCCAATTTACAAATGAGGACACTGAGGCACAGAAGTTTTACATCTAGTAATTGAGGGACCTGGGATTCCCTGGACAACACTGAACTACTGTGATGTATGGTCCTCCCCAGTTCTAAAGGAAGTATAAGAACACATCTCATCCCCTAGAGGCTAGGGGTGGTGATGCCATAGGAACAAAGCATGTCTTAGCTGGTTCCTACTTTGCTGCCTGGCTGGGCAGTCTTCTGATGGAAGGGCTGGTGCCTTACAGGTTGGGCACATATTGAAAGAATGATCTGGGCTATTACAGTAAAGGCATGTCTCTCTTGCCTGGTGATGTGTCTGTTCTCCAGGTGCCAGCATTGAATGGGTATAAAGAGAATTCAGGCCTCCATTTTCATGTAGTTATCTGTTTGTAAAGGTTGGAGGGCAGGAAGTACAGATACAGGAGCGGGGCTGGCCACTCAGTTAACAAGTTATACTCTGCATACAGCCCTTTGGGGAAACTGTAATGCAGTCCACTGTCATTCACTCCATGCATAAGGAACTGGAGGCCTTGATAATACAGCTCTAGTGCCTTTGATCATAATTTCCAGGTGGGTAGTACTTAAGAGCTAGAGGTCTAGTTCTACATTCTTGTAGAGCTTGCCAAGACACAAGGCAGTTTCATGGCTCTACCATTTGCTGCCCCCCAGGTGGAAGTACCAGAAACCAACAGCATTCTAGGATATATCTCTGTCTCTTCTCACAGGGAAGCAGGACAGAGGGGGCCCAGCTGGCAAAGATCCGGTGTTGCCATGTGGTAGGCAGAAATGTTATCGGACAAGAGGACATAAACAGGAGTGTGGGAGGACGAAATGCATCATTGAGCTAGAGATGTAGGTCTTAAATGGATTATCAGAACAGGATAAAGGAAAATATTGGGAGCTGAGATGCAGAGTCAAATAGGTTAAGAGACACCAGAAGGCAAGAATGAGGAACAGCCAGTCAAAGTGGACAAATAAGATATCTCCAGACAATTCTGGAGGTTAGGAATCACTGTTCTGTGTTGGGTTTTAATATCTCCTAGCACATGTTTACATGGACAGGGTGAGTCCCATTTAAGGGAATCTAGATGTGACAAGATGACTTCCTAAGAGTCTGACTACAAAAAGCAGAATCAAAGGATTCAAAGCAGCCTGTGAGGAAGTGATAGAAGAGAGCAAGAGTTGTTTTACAGAGAGTATTGGTCATTGGGCAGGCACTCTTCAGTTCACTAGCAGGCAACCCACTCAATCGTCTGTAACACCCTCCTTCCCTTCTTTTGCTCTGGCTTCACAAGTGGTGGTTCTCCTCCTCCCAAAGCCACTCACCCCATCCTCTCCTGCCTTCTCTGAGACTTTGCTCCATTTCTTATCCTTCTAATATTTCCAGTATTTCCCTTTCAGCCCATACATATTATTAAATCTTTTAGAGCAAACCCAACAAGCACCCCTCAAGCCTCACTTTCCCTTGACCATTGCCCTCCTCTTTCCTTTCTTTCCATTCAAACCTTTGGACAGTTTATGTTCCTTTCCTGTCCATTGCTTTAGTTCCTGCTCACCCTTCAATATTTTGTATTCCCATCCCTCTCCAGGATGTTATCTTACCAAAATCATTAGTGACTATGTTACTTGCCAAATATGACTGACATTTTAGTACTTCTCTGGATTGACCCCTCCATAGCACGTGGCACTGCTGAGAGCTTTTTGCTTCTTTAAACTCCTCTGCTCCCATGGGATTCCATGGTCCCTTTCTATTTTGATTATCTGGCTGGCCCTGATTGTCGCTTTTTGGCTGAATTCACTGGGGCCTCTTCTTATATTTGCCCGTTACAAGTTGCTGTTTCCTGGGGCTCTAGGCTCTACTTTCTTTTTCTCCTGACTCTCTGCCTTTTCCCTAGGTAATCCTGTCCATTTTCATGGTTTGAACCACCACTTTATATACTGGCAACACTTCTGTTTCTATTTTTAGCTTCCACCTCCATCTCCAAATTGGAGTATCCACTTTCCCTGGCTATTACCTTTGCTGCACACCAACACCTATTCTTGTTTATTGAGGTTTACAAGGGTTAAGTACACAGGTTGGAAAAATCAGGCTGCCTGGGTTTGAATAACAACGTGATCACTTACCAAGCTTGAGCAAGTTGTTTAACCTCTTTGTACTCCAAATGGGTAAAAGAGAGAAAATAACAACATATGCTTCTTAATATGAGAATATATGAGAACTATGAGAATATATGAGACAAAATTCAGGTAAGGTAGCATCTAGCATGTAGCTCAACACATTGGCTATTGTTATCAATATCCTGCTTTCTCTGGGACTCCGCTCAAGGAAGCCAGAAACTTGAGTTATCTTCCTCCTCTTTCCTCTCCACTCATATCCACTAATCATTAATACTTGATTTTATCTCTTAAAGCTGTCTCAAGTCAGCCTTCACCATTCTTCATCCCACAATCTCACTACTCTGCCTTAGATCAGGTCTTCATCACTTGTCATTGGGAGGACTTGCTTGTGCCCTATTCAGTCTCCCTACCTCCAGTCAACACCTCCTTCAATCCTTCCATCCTCTATGACTACAGAGTTAGTTTCCTAAAATACAGATCTCACGTTACTTCCTCACATAATTTTGCAGTGCCCCCCCCCCCATTTCCTACTACAGAGTTTCTCAAAGTATGCACATCAGAATCACTCCTAAAGTTTGGAAGTTGTAGGTTCTGACACACTACTCCAAACCTACCCAATCAAGATCTCTGAGAGAGAACTAGATATCTACATTTTTCATTTGGGGGATTCAGATATTCATGAAGCCTTTCATAACCCATTTCCTACTTTTCTACCTCACCTTCTGCCATTATCCACTTGGTACTTTAACACCTCCAACACTACAGGGCAGTGTGTAGTTTCCCAAATCCACCAAGCTATTTTACATCACTCTGCTTTTACAAAGGCGGTTGTGGCTTCCTGAATGCTGTTCACCTTCTTGTCTCCCTGGCACACTCCTTTGCATCCTTTGAAATCTTCTTCGCCATAACCTCCCTACTGACCAATCTTATTTTACTTCTTTACAGCACTATTTCTCAATCATTTGCTCATTATCATTTCCTAATCCAAGGAGCCTTTTTAGATAAGTTGTCTTAATTGACCACTCTATAAAATTTTAATATCACAGATATACTGCACATCATAAACCATGTAACATCTAAGTTTTTTGTTTTCCTCCACTCACAAGAATCAATTTTTGCTCTGGTGGCAGACACTACTCTCCAACCTGGTCTTCTCAATTTTCACTTTTGATTTCTCTGGTAAGACTTTTCTGATTCTCTTCCTATCTTTTTGAACATTTCTTCTCCAGATTCCTTTGTAAGCCTATCTTCTTCTACTTGTCCTGTAAACACTGGCATTCCACAAGGCTCATTATTTGTTTCGTTTTGTTTTTCTGTATTAAAGATGCCTCTCAGGTGATTTTTATCTATTTTCTTAGTTTTAATTACCACCTATCACGCTGTTGATGCCCAAATCTGTATTTTCAGTGAAGATAGCTATCCTGAGCTCTAGCATCTTGCTATTCCAAGTATGGTCCACAGATTGGCAGCATTTAGTATCATCTGAGAGCTTGTTAGAAATGCAGATTCCCGTTTCATCCCAGACCTCCTGAACCAGATCTGCATTTTATCAAGACCCCCAGGTATTTCATATGTACAATAGAGGCTCAAAAATACTGGGCTGGACCCTGTTACCAGCTCTCTAGGAGACATCTCTGATTACATGCTCCATAACCACATCAGCTCTCATCTCTTACTCTTCTTGGTTAATGGTAACAAAATTTACTCAGTCATCTACACAAGAAATCTAGATCACTCCTTCCTTATCATTTATATTAAATTGCTTACCATTCCTATCTCTTCTAGCTACTAAATGGCTCCTGAATTTATTTGCTCTTCTATGCTCATCACCACTGCTTTCACTTCCTTTTGGGTAGATTATTACAGTAAAGTCCTAATCAATTTCTCTATCAACATCCTCCCCCAACTCTCCACCAGTTTACCTGCTGACTTGCTAGAATCAGATCCCTAAAATGCAAATCTGATCATGTTACCTACTCCTGGATAAAGCTTTCTTCAGTGATTTTTCATTGTCCAAAGCCAGGGTTCTTAACCAGGGATCCATCCATCCAGACAAGGGCTTTAAGAGAGTCTTATACTTTCTGAAATTACAAGGAAAAATTTGTGTATGTGCACTTTTCTACACAGTAGACAGTATACATAGTTTTCATCAGATTTTCAGAGGGTCCGTGACCAAAACAGGTCAAGAACCACTGATCTGAAGGATTAAGTTCAAACTATGTAGCTTGGCATATAAGGACCCTTTATACCTCTCCTACCTTTCTTACAGTCACTTACCTACAGGAGTTCCAGCTTTAATTACAGACTTGGAAGTTCCCTCAGCCTTCATGCATCTCTGTCCCTGCACATGCTGTTTCTGGAATAACCCCAAAGTTACATACATAGCCAGTACATGGTGTGGCCTGGATTTGCACCTAAGTCTTATTTCAAAGTTCACAGTCATTTCACTCCACAGTGACTTGACATTTTACATTGTGGCCTAGTACACACAAATACATACACATACACTAGAACAAGTTTCATGAAATCCACCTTGGGATCAAAACATGCTGGCTGCAGCCCACTAAACTGATACAATGTTCTGTTAGTGAACTGCAACTCTCAGTTTAAAAAACACTGCACTAGACTTTTGCTGATACAGAAAGTTCTTATTACTGAGAATTTATTGCCTTAGCCCCAGAAGTATCAAGGTTTTGAGGTTTCCTAGGGATACACAAGCTGTCATAGCATGAAGGCATTTGCTAATGAACTGACCACTTTTGTCAGTCTCCATTCAAACAACCTACTCGTTTAAACACTAGTACCTATCTCTATCCATCTGTTCAATCACTATGTTTTTTATGGATTGTCATATATATCAGTGAGCAATTCACTACAAATCTATCACAAAGTAAAATTACAAATCTTATAAAAATATGCAAGATATCATGAAGTTAACACACAAAACTGACAACCAGGATCTGTAGACCAGTTTACAGATGAAGAGGCGAAAAATAACTAAGGATAATGATTTTAAAAGTTGTTCAAAAGAAAGTGATTTGAATACCAAATGATTAAGGACAAGCCCTCAGAAAAACTGGAAAAGCCCTTGAACATTTTTGGCAAAATCAACCCTCTTAACGATTGTGCTGCAAAAATCTCACAGAAAGTCAAATGTACCATCTTGAAATGTTGCACACTTTTGTTTGAAAAATTAGGCCCAAACAAAAGCAATCAATCCTCAATGCATTCTTTGTTTGTTGTAAGAATTACATAGCATTCAATTCTATTAAGACACAAACGAATTTTAACAGTTTTTAATTATTCAAGTTAGTGTACTAATCAAGCCCTGCCCGCTCCATTATTTACTCTAAAATTTTAGTCCTCCTTTTATTTTTAAAATATAATTTATTGCAAATTGGTTTCCATACAACACCCAGTGCTCATCCCAACAAGTGCCCTCATCCCTGCCCATCACCCACTTTCCCCTCTCCCCCAACCCCCATCTACCCTTAGTTTGTTCTCAGTCCTTAAGAGTCTTTTATGGTTTGCCTCCCTCCTTCTCTGTAACTTTTTGTTTCTCCCCTTCCCCTCCCCCATGGTCTTCTGTTAAGTTTCTCAAGATCCACATATGAGTGAAAACATATAGTATCTGTCTTTCTCTGCCTGGTTTATTTCACTTAGCATAATACCCTCCAGTTCTATCCATGTTGCTGCAAATGGCCAGATTTCATTCTTTCTCATTGCCAAGTAGTATTCCATTATATGTATAAACCACATCTTCTTTATCCATTTGTCAGTTGATGGTTTAGTCCCCCTTTTAAATGGGTTCACTAAGTGGCCTTCTGTCTGGTACCAAGTACCCTCGAGTAATAAGAACCTCCTGTATAACTCTTTGTTTCCTCATCATCTGGAATACAGCAGGAGCTTAATAAAAGTTTGTTAAATGAATAATTGCAATGGCCTTCTCCTCTCTAGCCTCAGTTCCCTCAGATCCAATCAGCACATTGCCACCCTCTCTAAAATTCTTCAGTAAATCCCCACTGGCCTGAGAAAAAAGTCCAACTCCTCAGCATAGCTTACAAAACCTTTACAGTCTGGTCTTGCTCTATTTGCCCTCACATTCTGGCCACATTTAACTACTTGCAATTCTCCAAATGCCCCATACTTTCCACTGCCCTGTTTTTATTGTTCCCTCTGCTTGGAAATCTCCATCCTTGCTGACGATAGGAAGGCAAACTCCTTCTCCTTCTTCTGTACACTCCACCACCCTGCACATAACTGGAGCATACACTGGTCATATTGTGTCTGTACTGTAACTGCTTCCCACCTTGTTCCAAGCAGTTTTTACTATAAAAAGTTCTGCTGATAAAATACACATTAGAGAAGATATAGGAAACAGAAAAAAGATACATGTATACGTGTGTATGTATGTATGTGTGTATCTATATATATATCTATATCTTTCACAGTATCATCATCCTCACAAAGTCACCAGTATCATTTTGTTGTATTTCCTTCTAAGAAGAAAAAAATGTTTTTTTCATAAGCATCTATTTTTTTACATGACTAATCAGAGTGAATGTACAATGTTACAGCTACCTGCCCTTTAAAAACAAAGCCAACATTATACAATATGCACTGTTTTTTAAAGTTGTATTTTATTTGAGAGGGAGGGAGGGAGGGAGGGAGGGAGGGAAAGAGAGAGAGAGGAGTGTGAGAGCGGGGCAGGAGCAGACAGAGAGGGAGAGAGAGAGAATCCCAAGCAGGCTCCACACGTCAGTGTAGAGCCCGACTTGAGGCTTGAACTCACCAACCGTGAGATCATGACCTAAGCCGAAGTCAGATGCTCAACTGACTGAGCCACCCAGGCACCCCAATATGCACTTTTTTTTTTGTTATATAGTCATCCTAACCACCATTTGTTAATGGTTACATAATAGCCCATCAAGTGGATATGTTACAGTATAAAACTTAACCATTCTGCTGTTGTTGGATATTCAGGTCTCCCTCCTCTTTTTTGGCTATAAGAGAGAAATGACCATCTTCATACACACAGCTTTTCCATATGTTGGATTGGCTTATTTCCTTAGGTTAGATTACCAAGAGTTATAGATATATGAGGTAAAAAATCTTTCTTCCTTCAGCTCAAATCTGGGAGGAGAAAAATGTATACATGTATATACTATATTTCAATCTCTCTTCCCATAATTATCAGTGATGCTAAATATTTATTCATGTTTATTTACTATTTGTTTCCTCTTTTGTGAATTGTTCATGTCTTTTGTCCATTTATCTACATTTTAGCGTTTTAAAAAATCAATTAGAAGGGCGCCTGTGTGGCTCAGTCGGTTAAGCATCTGACACTTGGTTTCGGCTAAGCCATGACCTCATGGTTGGTGAGATTGAGCCCTATGTTGGGCTCTGCACTGACAGCGTGGAGCCTGCTTGGGATTCTCTTTCCTTTCTTTCTGCCCCTCCCCGACTCGTTTTTTCTCTCACTCTCCCTTTCTATCTCAAAAGCAAATAAATAAACTAAAAAAAAAATCAATTAGAATAAAGAATTTAAACATCTGTAATATTTGCTGTAACTTTTTTTGCATCTTTTGATTTTGGTAATATTTTAGCTGCAAAAGTAATAAAATCTCTTTCCAGAAATTTTGCAAACTAAAGAAACACATTTTTAAAAATCATCAATAATTCTGCTACCCTAATATAGCCACTATTATTATTCCCACTGTTTTTTTTAATATGTGTATGTTCTATAAAGTTGTAATTGCAGTGTGCATACAATTTTAAAACCTGATTTTTTATTAACACATAAGTATTTTTCTGAAATGCTCTATCGTCTTCATAATCATCATTTAAAAAATAGCATAATATTCTATGGAGTAGATTCACCATTTCCTTATTACTACATATTCACATTATTTCTAATTTTTTTTGTTTCATAAGTAACACTGATAAAGGCTTCCATGCAAATAGTTTTTTTGCATATTTTGCATTATTTTTTCTGGAAATATTCTCAGTAGTAGGATTAAAGGACATCAGTCCTTATCCCTAAGGTAGATAAAGGGCATTAATACACATTAGCTACCAAATTTAAGGGGCTGAAACACTATTACCAGCCAAATAAGTACCATCTTTTTCAATTCTGGCTTAAAGAGAGGCTACTTAGTTGTTTAAATTTGCATTTCTTTGATCAGTAGTGATGAACATTGCCCCATGTTTTCCAGTTGTTCTTAAACACCTTTGCAAATTTTCTATTTGTGCTCTTTGCCCATATTTCTTATACTTCATACTGTGTAAGTGCCTTACTTAGAAAATATAAACCTGTCACATTCTGTCATATTTTTGTCAAATATGCCTTTTTAGTCTGTGTTTAAATCTTATTTTTTAAATGACCACAAAACTTTTAAAAATTATTTTGGTTTTAAAATTTTATATATCTAAATTTGTTGATCTTTTCCTTTGGGAATTTTTTCTATTACTTCCTAAGCTTAGAAAATCTATTTCCCTTCAGAAGCCTGATAAATATCCATTCATTCTAGTTTTTTTAATTTGATTTTTTATATTTAACTCTTCAATCTAGCTGCCACTTCTTTTAGTTTATTACAGGAGATGAGGGTATAAATGCTACCAACTGTCACAACATCATTTACTGAACAATCCTTTCCACTCCTATTCACTTGCAAAGCATCTTTTATAATAGACTGAATTCTTATATGTAAAAGTCTCTTTGAAGAGCATACCGTAATATCATCTGTCTAATCTTATACCAGTGGTACCACGTTTTCATTATTCTAGTTTTGTATGTTTAATATCTAATAGCATTAGTCCCTCATCATTCTTCTTTTGAAGAATTGTCTTTGAAAATCACTGTTTGTTTTTTAGTTTCTGAATGCAATTATTTGCTGTCTTACCTCTTAAGGTATCAATTTCTTGAGGGCAGGATTGGTTTTATTTCCTTACAATAGACTGCTAAGAATGATATTACTGGGTCAACAGGTATGAACATTTTCCCCACTCTTTTAAACACTTATTTCCAAAGCTTTCAAAAAGAGTGTACCAGTTTCACTGTAACCATGCCAGAACAAGGATATTTTGAAGATTTGTTTTCAAAATTGGTCAGGGAAAAATATACCATGCTTCAATTTTTATATCTCTGCTTATTAGTGATGATAAACACATGCTTGGCATATAGTAGGTGCTTAATCAGTGCATGCTGAATGAATAAATGGCATGTCTGAATCCATACAAGTATTTGGGGATGGAAAAGTTTAAACAAATATTGTGGTTAAAATAGATAATGCTTGCTAGATGTAAGTTGGTGGGCTACATGCTTGTAGTCCATTTGCAGAGATGTTCCAGAGGTGCCAAGAACCCCCTAGAATCTGGACCAGAATTGGGGCAATCCCTAGAGACTCTCTGTAATTTCTATTCACCACAGTGTCTGTTTCCAGGTAGGATCATCTGAAAGCTGTCTGAAACAGTTAAGATAATACCCACCTACATGTAGCCCAGAAGCAGCCATGATTGGCTCTAGATTGAGTATGCTTCATTTCAAAGCAAAACAGTGACAAGTGGCAGGTATCTGGGTATTCCACTAGAAACGGATCCAGGCCCTGAATTTAAATACATAAGATCTGGGGTGCCCGGGTGGCTCAGTCAGTTAAGCGTCCGACTTTGGCTCAGGTCATGATCTCACAGTTTGTGGGTTCAAGCCCTATGCCAGGCTGTGTGCTGACAGCTCAGAGCTTGGAGCCTATTTCAGATTCTGGGTCTCCTTCTGTCTCTGCCCATACTCCGCTCATGCTCTGTCTCTGACTCTCAAAAATAAATATTAAAAACATTCAAAAAATTATAAGAAACTCAATGTATAAGATCCTCCAGTGCCACATGCAGAAACTAGATCTAATTCACAGGATCAGGCATTTTCCACGAAACCACATTACTTTTCTTCCCAACTTGCTAAGCACAAGAGGATTCGAATAGAGGTCGTTGGTTCAGACAGGCTGGGTTCCCCCTCCCCCCCGACTCTGCCTTTCATGTGTGGTTTAAAGGAGGGTCATTTTTTTTTTTGTCCTAGGAATCACTGTCTTTATTTTGAAAATTTTTAATAGAGCAAAAGCTAACAAAAGGTAAGCTGTTTCTCTTTGTTTTTAAGGCCATGTAAAACTCCTTATTAAACACTGGTTCTCTTAGCGCCATCACCTCAGTAGTAGATTCTAGTAGTAAATTTTCTCAAGGACTTCCTTGGTCACACAGAAAATCTGCTGATTTGATGAAATGAATTCCATACTAGCATCTTAATCTTCATCTGCTGAGGTTGTACTCAGTTTTATTCTGAAAACCAAAGTGCCATTTTCTCTGGACTTCAGAGCACCAAGGAGTATCAAAGTCATGGCCAACAGTATGCACCTGAGAACAGCTGTTTCAGAAGCCCTTTCTCCTTAGAGTGACACTGAACTCTCTCAGTTGGTTGCCACTATCCCTAGAGATGGTAGCATGAGCTTCCTTCTTGATTCTTCAGCATTTTGTTTTAAATCTATTCTCATTAATTTTCCACCTGTTTGAAAATCCGTTTGCCACTTCTTTCAGAACTAGTTCTAAAATTCACCTCTTCCAAGACTTCCATGATTAATTTCTCCATACTGCTAAATCTCTTCAGCTCATATATATATTCAGTGGGTAAAAAATTGATATTGCTCCCTAATTATTCTAATTTTGTTAGTGTTTCTAGAGCATAAGTCCCTTGAAGTGAGGGGAATGTCCAAAAAGCTGGAAAGAAATGTAGAGATTGTCTAGTTATATCCTTTGCCCTGCCCATTTTCCTGATGGAAAAACTGAGGCTTAGAGAGGTTAATCTTTCCAGGTCAGTTAGCCAAGTTTGTAGAAAAACTAGGCATAGAGGCCAGGTATCCTGCCTTTCAATGGTGTGGTTTCCATTATATTGTCCTATCTTCTTCTATTTCACTTGTATCTCTTCAGGATGCCTGGTAAAGTGCTATATGCATACACAAGTCTCCCAATAAATGCTGATACAATAAGCATAAGAGTTTACATAACTGAGAAACTGACTCAAGGAAAGAGGCAGAAAGCAGAAAGGTCATTTTCTTACTTCTTTGCATGATGCCACCCTCCGGACCAGTTAATTGCTACTTTGCACATTCCATCAATCAGGCATTGGGCAGCTGTGATTGTAGCCCCTCCTACAGCTGCTGCGTAGTCAAATATCCCTTCAGTGGCTGGACAGTCATAACCTTTGGGCAAACATCAGAAGAGTTTGTTAAAAGATGGATTGGAGAAAGAGGAGGTGTGATACTGTGGTTTATATAATAGGAAATATTTATACATGATCTTCATTTCCATTTCTGACACAGAGCTCCTAAAACTGTTGGAATTTCCTGAACAATGAGACGAATAAAGGTGTCTTTGTGATACTAATGAGGTGACCTGTGGATCATACCTAAGGATGGAGGTTGGTAGCCAGTGGAGCAAATCAGGTGATTGAAGGTTGGAACTACCAGTCCTATCCCCTGGCCTCCTGAGAGAGGAAGGGGCTGGAGATTGAGTTCAATCACCAATTGGTCAATGATCTAATCAGTCATGCCTATGTAACGGAGCCTCCTAAAACGCAAAAGGAGGGCTGGGAGAGCTTCTGGTTTGGTGAACACATGGAGATGTGGGGAGACTGGTATGCCTGGAGAGTGCATGGAGGCTCCACATCCTCTCATCATACCTTGCCCTATGCATCTCTTCCATCTGGCCATTCTGAGTTATACATATCCTTTTGTAAGCAACTAGTAATCTAGTGATTAAATGGGTTCCCTGAGTTCTGTGCACTGCTCTAGAAAATTAAACCCAAAGAGGGGATTGTGGGGACGTCTGATTTATGGCCAGTCAGAAGCACAGGTAACAACCTGGGCTTGCAATTGGTATCTAAAGAGTAGAGCAGTGTTGTGGTACTGAGTCCTTAACCTGTGGGATCTGATGCTATCTCCAGGCAGATAGTGTCAGAGTTGAATTGTAGGACACCCAGCTAGTGTCCTGAGTACTGATTGGGGGTGTAGGAGGAAGGTCCCACCTCCACATATTCGAAGTGGGTCTGGAACTCTATTAGGAGGAATAGCTTGATATGTGACAACAACATATCTTACCAAAAAGCTCCTGTGGTAACATCAGCTTCCAAATGAGAAGCAAACATCTCCAATGTTGGGGAAATAATTTTTTTAAAGCATTGGACCTAGAAAGGCTAAATCTTCAAGATTAGCTAGTCACACCCTACAGATGGAGAAACAGAGTCCTGAGAGGTGATATAGCTTATCTTGGTCATACAGAGCCAGGTCTGGGACCCAGGTCCCTTGACTCACTATCTCCCAGAGCAGAGTTCTACTAAACCATGCTATTTCTCTAGACTATCCCATTGGCCACCTACAGTTTAAAAAAAATACAGCTGTTTAATGTGAAATAGGGTTGAAAACTTATCCAGAACATAAACATGTACTCAAGTTTTAACAGCCAGACCCAATGTGGGCACTGCTATTGGGCTTAAGCAACTAAAAGATTTTCCTCCGTCTAATCCGTCATTTGGTTTTGCTCAACTCATATGGTTTGCTTGTTCAGTGAGATACGTGTTTAAGCTAAGAGATTAATATTGTGGTTAACACATTAGTTTTTAATTAAAAAATAAAGACTTTCATGCAAGTTGTAAAATAAGTAGTTACAATTTATAGGTGGAGGTTGTCTACCTCCCATCACTGCCCAGTAATGACTTTACCTAGCCCGTATTCTACGGAGTCTGGATGATCGTCATCTCCTTCTTGGCTGACCTTCTGGAGATGCTGCAGATAGGCATCAGTGTGGAAGGTGGCCATCTCCTCCATGGAGGCTACTTTGGGCTTAACTATCCTAATAATAACAGAGAACAAAGAGAGGTGAGTGAGTCAGAACCAGAGTATGCCAGAAACTGGAAGCAGGAGCCAGCAGTCTGAGCAGAAAATACAACTCCCAGCTCCCAGTTCCAGTGGGCTGAAATAATAAACATGTTCTCTTCCTTTACTGATGTAGTCTTCACTTCCTCACATCTCTGTAATGATTCCACTAATAAGGGGTGAGAGGACAGATCTCCTTGAGTTCACAGGTAGTAAAAAAAAAAAAAAAGCCAGTGATTATATTTAAGTGAAATAATCAGATATTGGACAAACTTCACTCTGTGAGTTACAACTTCCATGACAAACTAGTAGGCAGAGATCTTTGCACTTGAATTAGTTCCTAATTGGGACATATAATCCTTTCAGCTACAGTTTTACTTTAAAAAATTTTTAAGTTTATTTATTTATTTTGAGAGAGCGAGTGAGAGAACAGGAGAGGGGCAGAGAGAGACGGAGAGAGAGAATCCCAAGCAGACTCTGTACTGTCAGCACAGAGCCTGACTTGGGGCTCAATTCCATGAACTGTGAGATCATGACCTTAGCCAAAACCAAGAGTCAGACACTTAACTGACTGAGCCACCCAGTTGCCCCTAATTTTACTTTAATAGGCAACTTTATTATCATGAATTTTGAATTTGGAGTTGAGAACTGAGCACCTCTTCTTAATTCTGTACTTATCAGCTCCATAACCTCAGGCAAATTGACTTCTGTAGTTCAGTTTCCTCACCTGTAAAGTGGGGAGATCTTATGGGACTTAATGTGAAAATGAAATGATAACATATGAAAACGCTTTGTGGATGACTATCATTATTGTTAATACTAACAGATAACAAATAGGCAACTCAAAACATAAAAGTTCCTATATTTGGTCCCTCATATCCACCTCTGAGAGGAAGAAGAGAAGGGACTTTGCTCAGAAGCTCTCACAGGAAGTGACAAATAGAAGTGACTCAGAATACAGGGTGGTGTTAAGCTAACAACCGGACTTACCACCTTTAACTTGTCTGCCTATTCCCCATTTCTTTTCCTGACTCTGCCACTGCCCCTTAAAGTGTAGTCTATGGACCAGTGGTGGCGGCGGCAGCGGCGGTGGCAGCGGCAGCGGCAGCAGCAGCAGCAGCACCTAGGAGCCTGTCAGACAGGCAGAACTTCAGCCTTCAGCGCCACCTTAGATCTATAGAATCGGAATTTAACAAGGTGATTCATATGTACATTCAAGTTGGAAAAGCGATGACCTACGCCACAGGGAGGCAGTAGTGCTTTTTTTTTGTTTGCTGAATGGGAACTCAGCCATGGGTTTTTCATGAATTAATATGACTGTATAGGCTAGTACTGTCACCAAGCTGGCCAGAAGAATCCTGTAGCTCAGTCTCAACAATTAAATATATATAGTAGCGCCTGGGTGGCTCAGTTGATTAAGGGTGCAACTTCGGCTCGGGTCATGATCTCATGGTTCAAGCTCTGCATCAGGCTCACAGATGTCAGCACGGAGCCCACTTTGGATCCTCTCTCTCTGTCTCTGCCCCTCCCCCACATGCTGTCTCTCAAAAATAAATAAATATCAAAAAATTTCCATATACATGGCCAAGATACAAGGACTCTTGCTTCTCCTTCAAGAAAATGACAAATCTGTGCATTAAAATAAAAATGTTACAGTTTTTTGGACCATGTTTTCCTGCCCTAAGGTTTCTAGTGCCCTTCCTCTTATCTAACAAACACTTACAGAAAGCCTCTCTGCTTAATAGCAAGGGAATGGGACAGTTCTGCTTTACATCGATTTCTTGTTTGTCTTAAAATATTCTTTATGTTTATTTAATTTAATTTGAGAGAGAGAGAGAGAGAGAGAGAGCGTGCACACATGGAAGGGGCAGAAAGAGAGAGAAAGAGAGAGAATCCCAAGCATGCTCCACACTGTCAGCATGGAGCCTGATGTGGCACTCGAACTCACGAACAGTGAGATCATGACCTGAGTGGAAATCAAGAGTTGGATGCTTAAACCACCCATGTGCCCGTAAAGTAATTTTTGGAAAAGTTAAGTAACTGTGATGGAAGGCATATAGTTCTCATGTCTACCAAACATATGGGAAAAAAAAAAAAAAAGGTACTCAGTAAATGATTTTGTTAATAATAAGGATAAAATTTGAAAGCCTATTACACTACCTTCTGGGGGAATAAATGAAGTATACTACACAAGTCAGAGTAGACACTCACCTATTTGGCCAGACAATGTCATAAATAATCCTACAAGTGACAGGGCTAAAATATCCATTCTTATAATGATAAACAGCAAGTTCATTCTTTTTTTTAAAGCAACACTTAAGTGTGTGCTGAGTTCTGGTTTGGTTGTAGTTTTGCTTTGGTCTTGACTTGTCTCCAGGCTTAATTGTAAAAGTTAGGTGATAGTGATGGGGTGTCTAAAAGTCTTAACTTGAACATACACCCTCAGATTTGGCTTAGAAATAAACACATAGAAATCTCAGAACATGTCACAGGTGAATAAAATTTCTTTTCCATCAGATGGGTTTTAGTACCCTAAGGTACTCACCTTGAAATCTCCACAGGGCACCTATCCCTAGATTACTTTCCCTTCCAGCAATAGAATCTTATTTCTAATGGGTCTTAACTGCTTTCCGTACTTTTTTCAAGTTTTCTTAATGCTTCAAGAGCTTTCACTGGGTTACAGGCAGATTACAAACACTGAATTGCAAAAAACTTTGAAAGAAAGGACTATTCTCTTCCTAATTAGATCCACTGTGAAGTAGGATACTAAGGAGCACTTAGCTTCAGGGCTTGGTTCAAGAAAGACAACTTACCTCATTTGCTTATGCAGTGCATATGCTTCAATCAAAGAATGTACCATACTGGCCTAGAAGCATCAACAAAAAAGAAAAAAAAAAGGCAGAAAAACGTCTCTTCAATGTTTATTTCAGAGAAATACCATCGACTTCATCATCCTGAACAAAGAAAGTAACTTTTAACTCCCCTCGCTTTTTATTTACCAGTTGCAATGCACTTTAGACAAAATAGATACAAAGTATATAAATAGCTAAGGAGAAAGCCACCGGGCCTTACGGAGGTGCTGGAACGTTTCTCTTGCAGCGTCTTCTCCACTTCAGGGATCCCTTGTAGTGGAGCCACCATTCCCTAGTACCATCCCCTCCCCCGCACCCCTACCCCCTCCGGTGCGTTGGACGCCCCGACGATAAATGCGGCGCTCTCAGAAACTGTAAGGGAACACTTCCTCCATAGCCTAGCACACCTGCCCAAATTTCTGCTGAAGATTTCCCCCAGCCCGGAATCCTCTCAGCTTCCTAATGCTGTCCGGTCCAACAGCCCCCACCCCCACCCTAAAAGCCCACGGTCTTTTATCCCGACCTCTCTTACCCGTTTGGGGACTTTGGCCAGGGAGTCGCACATGCTGACATACTCGGGACTGTAGATGTACACTGGAGGCAGCGACTGCCCACTGTCCGCCGGTTCCTCCGGCTCCTCCATCTTCCAATTCCAGCCGTTCCGGAGCCACCTTCTGGATCCGGCTTTTTTCAGACTCAGCCCGGGCTCCTGTTCCTGCTCCTCTGAACGGCCGCAGCGGTGCTCCCTGGTCAACATTCCCTCCTATTCTCGTTATTGCCAGAGACACTGTCCCAGCTCCCCAACCAATTGAAAGAATACATGGGCCCTCCCAGGCCAGAAGCCCTTCATTTAGTGACCACGGTACAAAAACGAGAGGTCGGCAAATATAAAAGCCCAAATAACTGCCAATTAGGATCGATAATTTATGGGACAAATAAGCACGGTCAAAACTAACCATCCTTGTTGCCCTACGGGGCCATTTGAAATGAGGTCAGACCAGCTTTAGAGCATGCTGGGAGATGTAGTTTTGGGGGGTTCGAGTAGCGGAAGAGCCGGGGCTAATTGCTAAAATAGCCGCGAATGTGAGTTTTAGCGCTAAAAAAACAAAACAAAACAAAACAAAACAAAACAAAAAAAACCAAAAAAACAAGCAAACAAACAACAAAAAAAAAGCCGCCCAGCTCTTCGTGAATTGTTTCAATCTGCAGATACACCCATATAAATATTTAAAGATAGACACGATGTGGCCACCAAAAGCCCAGCACCACCCACCTACGTTAGACAGGCTTTTTTGGTGGGGGATTAATAAATGGTTGCAAAAGATTTGAAAAGTTTACACAGTAAATTTTGCACACAACTTTATTCCTTTTCATCATTAGCAATCCATGTCCATGTAAGAGTTAAAAACCTCAATAATTCACTCTGGCAAAGCCAAAAGCATTTTTCAAGAGGCTGGCTGGTAATCTTGAAATTGCTTTGTAGATTCCAATCAAGCACTGATGTCAAATTACTCTTTAAAAATTCGTGTGGGAGGGGGTGAGCACATACTTTCAGTGATGTTTGCAAACTGCAGTTCCCCTTCCCTCCCTCCTTTTGCTTCTGGAACTATACAAGGGTTACTGAAATAATTTATGTAGTGTGAGACTTCACATTACATAATATCCTGAAGCACTTTTAGAATTATCATCAGTTATTTCCAGGCTCCTGGCAGCCCCTATGATATGATGTAAGCTGGCCAATTCCCAAGTCCCCCTACCTCTCATCTCAACCTGAAGTGACCTGCTAACACCCCTCAGACAATCCAACATTCTTACTTCCTTTAAAAACTAGCTCACCATTTTTTACTTTTTAAACATTTCTTGAGCACTCTGATATGCACTTGGATATATTATCTCATTTAATCTTTGCAAAAGTCCTATGAAGGATATTGTAATATGCCCATTTTACAGATGCAGTTTAGAAAGAGAGCAAATGGCTGTTCAGTGTCACACACCTATTAAGCAGAAAAGCAGGAATTCAAAACCAGGTCTGCCTGACACTGAAGCCGTTGAACATTCCCTTTACTATGTAAACTTCATTCCTGTAGCATTACTTTGTTAAATCTAACTTTGTTCAATCCTCCATTTAGTATTCCCTGAATGCGTAGTATTCTGGAAAATCCAACCGCCCCCCCAGACCTGTGATGTCTTCTTTAACTAGAATATAAGCCCTTATGCTTCTTTTAGATCTTCCTATAGCAACTGGTTCAAAGTTCTGCAATCATTCAGTCATTCACCAAACATTTATCTGACGGCAACTAAATGTATAGAACAGCAAAGGATTCAATTCTCAAGATGAACTACAATCTCATTTCTGCTCTCAGGGAATTTGCATTCTTGTAGAGATGACATAAATACACAAGAAACAGTATGCAATGCATCAAAGTCAGGTAATGAATGTAGAAGGCTTAGATTGCTTAATAACTAAGAATTAAGTACTTAATAAATGGCAACTAGAATTCCTATTCAGTGGCATTTGAGATGGTTTTACTGGATGGACAGGATTTTACTTGGTGAGGATGGGAGCCAGAGGAGGGCACACTGACTAGAATCAATAGCATAAGCAAAAACATAAAGGAGAACATTTCTAGTCTAGTTTAGCTGAAGAGGCTGGATCATGAAGGGTTGTGAATGCCAGGCTAAAGGGAACAGACTTCAAGCTGTGGCAAATGAGTAGACATTTAAACAGAAATCTTAAAAAAAAAAAAAAGATTTCTACAAGAGTGGTGTAAAGATTAGCTATTGAAAGACTAGAGGTAGTGAGAGTGCCGCAGTGGTCCACATAAAAAGTAATGATTTAAACTAGGGTACGGGCAATGGGAACAGAGATGCCACTACCCCAGTCCTGACATTGTCATCTCTCACCTGAAGTTTCTGCAATATCACACGGATTTTTACGTCTACTTTTGCAGAACTACAATTTAGTCTTTTCGCAGCCACCAGAATGAACTCGGGGCCAAAAAAAAAAAAAAAAAAAAAAAAAGTAAATCAAACCATGTCACTTTTTAAAGCCTACCGCACACTATGGTGAGAATCTTTTGGGCTAGGAAGAAGAGTGTAACTTTTGGGAATGCCTTTTTGTGGAGGCTAGGAGGAGAAAAAGATGCCATAAAGGAGACAAAAGAAGAAATAGTTGGGTGAGAACAAATGTAGTACAGTTTCACAGAAATCTAGGGATGAGAGGGTCACAAGAAGGGAGAGGTAGTGACAATGTCATTGCCAATAGGAGCTCACTGGTGCTCTATGAGGAAAAAAAAAAAAAACACAAGGCAGGGAGGAAGCCCAATTGCAAGGGGTTAACGAGTGAAACCAACACTGTCAGGTGGAGCTTCTTCTTTGAAGAAATTTGATTGTGAAAGGAAGGAATTAGTATATCAAGGGATGTTAGAGCTCATGAATGATTGTTTTTAGGATCAGAGAGAAAGGCACACATTTACTGACAGAGGTGAAGGAATCTGTGGGCCTGTAGGAGTTGACGGAAAGGTGAGATCATGACAGATTGGCAATATAAAGAGGAAATGGGATTTGTCCTGGGCCTTCAAGGATAGGCAGTGAAAGGAAGAGGACAGGATACAGGCTGGCCAGCTGGCACCCTAAAATCTGGACTGTAATAAGATGATGTGAAAGTGGATTGTTCTCTGTGTTCTTTCAGATCTAGCAGCAGGTAGCCGAACACTTCAACACACTTCTAAAGTGGAAATAGTATCCTTATTTGACACACAATGTGGCAAGATGACTCAAGTATGGAGAAAGATAAATTGTTGCAATGAGGCTCTGAAATTGGCAGCCTATTCCTGCAGCAAATCTCACAGGGTGGCTGGACACTTTGTTCATGATTCAGACAGAGCACAAATCATGCCACAGGTCCCTAACTCAATTTTCCACATGCTTAATATCCATACAGTCCTTAACTTGGGAAGCAAACCCTTCCCAAAGCACTGGAATTGCAGATGGAAGGCCTAAGTTCAGAGGAAGTAGGTTGAACTTTGGCTCCAAAGTGTTCTGGTGTGGTGACCCTGGATAAGGGTCCTTGACTCACTTTCTTCAACCATTATTGCTAAAGGTAGTTTTTGAACCAGCAAGATCAGGTTAGGCTATGCCACTTCTTTTGGCGATCTCGCCTGTCTTTGCTTGCTGGAAGAAGCAGGCAGCAGGGAAAGCAAACACACTGAAAAGGCACTACTCCTGTGGCTGCCTTCTTTGTGCATTTCTGCATGTTGCCCACTGTGCCATACAATCTGCCCACAGATGCCTCAACTGTACTCAACAGACTGACCCTTGTTTTAATGTCTTTTCCTTGAAGAGTGTCATTGTTGAGAATGGGAACTCTATCGAGCCAGACTGCTTGGGCTCAAATCCCAGCTCTACCACTTACCAGCTGTTTGATCTTGAACAATTTGCTTAAATGCTCAGCACCTCAGTTCCCTCATCTGTAAGATGGGAGTGACAACAGTATCTAGCTCACATGGTAACTATGAAGATAGAATAAAATGGTTCATGCTAACTGCCTGTGTAACAGTCTGGCATCTGGTAAGCACTCAAATATTGCTTAGGATTTAAGAGATATTATTTAAGTCTCCCCCCACTGTTTCCTTACCCCCACACCACTACTTCAAGAGTACTTTTGAGAACAGGTCCTTGGCTTTTAGGCCTAGCCTTAAAAGAAATCAGACTTCTGCTAAATATAGGGCAACCATATCGTCCAAACTGGGACACTTTTAAGAGTGACAAAGAGTGCTATTAATAATTATGCCACGACAACAGGCATACATGGAGACTGTCCTGGGCAAACCAAGACCTAAGGTCACTCAAGTTTAATAGGAAACAAAGACTAAATGTGGAAAACACTGTATTTATCTCCACTGCATTTAGTGTAGGTATTAGGTATTGAGTAAGTGCAAAGGGGGGCAGTAGAGGTTTTGTGAGCCATGGGTAAGAACGACAACGTTTGCCCCACCAGTTGTGTACAATTCCTACAGTGTAGTGAAACCTAATTAGTGAGGATGGGATTGGAGACTGGTTCATCCTTACTGAATAAACCCTCTCTTGTTACACACGATGGTTAATGAGTAGTATAAACAGGATTCTGCCAAATATTTATAATACTTAGGAGAACAAATTGTTGTTAAGTACCTTCCGGTAGTACAGAAGCCCCATTTGCACACAATTGTAACACTGAGTAAAAATCTTATTCATTCATCAGTACAGGTCCCCTAAAGATGTCAATAAGCCCATTTTAATTTAATGAGCCTAGTTTGAGTGGGTATGTATTTGAAAGATAAAACTGTGTTTCTTTACTTATATTATCTAACATATTATAGAATATATATGATTTCTATATTAAAATAATTCTACTTTGAGCCAATTAATGAGCTTTGACTGTACTGTATAATTAAATAGAGTATGTAAAATAGAGCCACAAAATAAACCCCAGTCACAAAAACACACATAAAGTTTTGAACACTGGCATCAGACATGATTTAATTGGACATTCCAATTTTTAATTCTAATTTCAAAACAGAAGCGCTTAAAAAAAGTCCAAAGTTTCTTTTAGTATCACATGCTTACAAAGAATAAAATGCAGATCAAGTTTTCTAAAAAGTTGCTTTAAATGTGAAATACCACTGGATGGAGAGCACAGTGATAGGCAATTTAGTAAACCCAGAGAAACGCAGCAGTCAGTGTCAGTTCAGGCAAACTAACATGGCAGAGAGCAGAGGTTTTCACCTGTGCCACTCCAGATGTACTTCCTGTGGCTGGGGTATGCACAGCCAGTGAAAAGACAGTGTCAGAACAGGTCATAAATTATCTTTATAAGGTGACCAGAAAATCATGTAATCAGAAAGCTACTTACTGTGTGTTTCCATTTGCTCTGAGAGACATTCTATTCTAAAAAGGTTGGCTATCCTCTCTCATTTCCACTCTCTGTTTTCTATCAGCCTACTTACTGTGTTCACTTACTCATGCACTCAAAAGACTGTCATGGGTTTTGTAAGAACCGTTTAGAGAGATCCCTAGCCCCAGCCCCATTCTTGGAGAAAAATCTGAAAAATCTGAGAGAAAG